AAAAAATAATTTTGTACTAAGAATGTGTTCCAGTTCCAGAATACCCAGTTTCAAATTTGATGTCAAAAGGTTTTGTTTAAATTCTTCACGTTGTTCTTTAATACAAATCACTAACCCAGAAATAATGTTTAGTTTTCTTTTCTATATCCATTTACAGCTGCAATTAAAATTACTATTCGCTTAAAATTAAAGTTTTACTACATTCCCTACTTTGGAATCCACTGAGAATTGGCATTTTGAAGGTCAATTTTTCAACTTGATATATTATCCTTAAATGTAAATAATAATAACAATTAGGTATTTTGAACTTCTAGTTCAGAAATATTTTAGTACTAGGCAGAATAGCTTTTAGGCATATTAGACTAAAATAAAAACGTGGGGCCCATTAACTATTGCTGTAATACTTTCTTCTATACTAAGTGTGGATTGCATCGACTTACTATAATCGTAACTGGAGATTTTGACAGTCAATAACCAGCCGTGGCGGCTTCACCAGCGAACGCCGAGCTCATGATCTACCAAAGTATAAAGATTTGCTTTGCCATAGGTAGGATTTCAGAGGGGCCCCACGTTTTTATTTTAGTCTAATATGCCTAAAAGTGCTATATAATGCCTATAAAGTGCTCTAATATGCCTAAAAGCTATTCCGCCTAGTACTAAAATATTTCTGAACTAGAAGTTCAAAATACCTAATTGTTATTATTATTTTCTAGTTTTCAGTGCACATAAGATAAAACCGTTTAACTTAAAAGTTTTTTTACCGATTTTTTTATTTTCTAGTTTTTAGTATTTAACGGAAATGCCTACCGAATATTCCTCATTCTATTTAATTCATTTAGTGCATCATTATTACATGGTTTTTTACCTGATAATTTATTACAATCTAATTCCTCAATACATAGCCCTCCCAGAGACTTGACTCGACTTAGAGCCACGTATGCTTGCCCTTTCTCAAACAATTTTGAGCCCAAATACACTACTGCATGGTCGACTGTGGTGCCCTGCATTTTATGCACGACCCCCTCAGAGGTTCAGTAGAGGGGCAAGGCTATAATATACAACAAGAGGCGCCCAATCTTGAGGGGATAACGCTTGCGACATTACATTTTTAGCCACCCTAATGCCATACAGTCCTCAGTACGTTTTAACCTATTACCTTAACTTGGGTTGTAAAGCTACCGCTAACTACGTAGGTACATCTAATCACACACACACACCTATTTTTTTTATCTGTCCCTCTAACGTCACACAATCTTGGACACAACTGTTCTGGACACGACTACTCATGCCCTCACCTAATACGCCATTTTGTAACGACGTCTATCTTGGATTTTAAATTTTGTCATAATCACAGTATTCTACTAGTGTAGCCCTTTCATTTGATACCCATATTGAGGGGGTTGTGGAAAAATATAAATCCGCCATTTTTGTACCGGCGGCCATCTTAGATTTACAATGTTATTGATATTACTATATTGTATTGTCATCGGAACTAAAGGTGTGTACCAAATTTCAGATCAATCTGACAACAGGAAGGTACTTAAATTTCAATTTCTAATTTTGATCCAAACAAATAAATAAATACCGTACGGGTCGAGCTAAAGAAAACCGTTTAAAAATCGGAAAAAGGTTATTGGCCACTATGAAATCTGAATTGATTTTAACAGTTATGATGTACTGCAGGATATAGAGAAATATAAATTGAGATGCTAATTTCAGGGAAACGTGTATGGAAATTCCCTGAATATACAGAATGAGTTTCCTACGATGTTCTCTATGGGTATCTCGGAAACTACTGGAGATAGAGAGTCGGTTAAATGGGGAAAGGATTGCAGTTTTGTGGGGTCTTAAATATGCGCCTTTCAGATTTTTGAAAAAGTTCATGGCTTGCTAGATATTTCGAAAATAACAAATTTCGGCTATTTTAAAAATTGTCCCTAATTCCATTATAATCTATTTTAGACACAAAGTTTCCAGATAAAAGTTGAAGATAATCACATCCTTAATGAGATTGTGTCCTCCGCTTTTTTCTAAAGCCTGTCATTTTTGACATATGATACAAACATATCTTTTTTTAAATGGAAACCATAGTTGGCCATGACTTCATAAAAAGCGAGATTTTTTAAGCTTTTTAGTAATATAAGCTATAATATGTTATAGAGTTATAGTCAATTCTTATCATTTTTAAACAATTTCACTTAGTTAGCCATGGAAACAAGTTCAATCGTTCGTTGCTCTCAGAAATGTGAAGCTGTCACATCCAAACTTTGTAAATTAAAATAAACAAAATTGTAAATATGAATTTTCAAATGAAGAAAAGCTTGTAGATACTCGCGCATCAATAGAATGGTTCAATATTATGCAAACTCGGGATAGGAAGAGGTGGACCAATTGCATGGGCTTCCTCGATCACCTGACATATTCATTTTAAAATTTTTTTATGCCGTATGGTTAACAATAAGGTTTACAAAACTCTTATGAATTAAGAGAGGCACTAGAAGTGGCGGTACGAGAGAAGTTTAATTAAAGCGACTGGTCCTTCGGTGAGAATAATTAGTAATTCAGTTTTAAAAGATGCAACTCTCTCTCTCTCAAAACAATGGCGGAGTTTTTGAAAGGTTGGTTAAAAAGAAGGCTGGTATCTTTTCTGTTTAAGTACAAAATACTCCACAAATGACACTATGTTTTCCCTCCTTAATAAAGTTTACTCCAGCCTAAACAACCATCATTCTACAGCAACAATTTTCTGTGATTTTTCTAAGGCGTTCGATTGTGTAAATCATAAGATCTTAATTAATAAACTGCAGCACTATGGGTTCAGGGGATCATCTCTCGAATGGTTTAAGTCATATCTGAGCAACAGAAGTCAACTTGTGAGGGTGGATACCACGTTGTCTTCTAGCAAGCCAATAGAATGTGGAGTACCACAAGGCTCAGTACTAAGCCCTATTTTGTTTCTTCTTTTTATTAACGACATTGCTAACATAAACATCAGTGGCAAAATATGTCTTTTTGCGGATGACACTAGCATCAGTTGGAGCAACAAGGACATCACGGCACTTCATAGGATTATATCAAATGACTTAATCACCATTAAATCTTGGTGCAATTCGAACCTCCTAAGTTTCAACATTTCTAAAACTAAAGCTTTGTCGTATAAAAACTCGTTGCAGCTTTTTGTACTTAACAACACCACCATTGACGTCGTCAAATCTGTAAAATTCTTAGGGCTTGTTGTGGACAATTCTCTGAAATGGGACATACATATGGAAGCTTTGTCGGAAAAATTGAGCTCTGCCTGTTTTGCATTAAGGTCTGTTTCTAAGGAGCTTAACTTGTCAGTGGCTAAAACTGTTTATTATGCACTTTTTGAGTCGCACCTCAGGTATGCCCTTCCATTCTGGGGTATGTGTTGTGCGACTCAATTTGACCGCATTTTCAGGCTCCAGAAGAGAGCTGTTCGATATTCACTGGGATTATACAGCAGAACTCATTGCCGGGACTTTTTAAAAAAATAAAAATATTGACTCTTCCTTCCTTATTTATATTTGAATCCGTTTGCCTAATACGTAAACATGTATCAGCTTCTCAAGAAAGGCCATCTCACACTTATCCACTCAGGAAGCGGTGTAGAGATGGATTACTTACGTAGAAGCGCTAGAGTGTCCAGATTACAAAGAGTGAGAAACGAGGAAATCAGAAACAGAACATCGGCACAAGAAACAGTAATTCAACGAATAGAGAAAAGGTATATATATATATATATATATATATATATATATATACGTTTTTTACGTAAAAAAGGTCTCTTAGTAAAAATCGCTACGAGTAATGGTTCTCAAGATATTTGGAATCGAAATTATCAATACCTATCATCATTGACATTAATTAAACATGTTGACTAAATAATTATTAGACTGAATTCACAAATTTGAAATGTTTTTGTGCCAAAAGTTCAGAAACTGTTTTATCATCATTTTTTTTGAAGAAAAATTTATGATTAATTCTAAAAAATAAAAAGTTCCCATGTTTATCATTTCAGTCAAATAACTATGTACTCAACATGTTTATTTTTTGTCAATAATGACATGTATGGACTATTTCCATTCTAAATATCTTGAGAACGGTTGCTCATAGCGATTTTTACCAAGGGATATTTTTTACGAAAAAATAACGAATACGTATATTTTTTTACTCAGTAGTTTTATACAGGTACGAACGAAAAGTTATTATTCTTCAAAACAGTTTAAGCACATGTAGGAGGCGCCCTCTACAAATAGGAGTCATATTGACATCAATATCAAGTTTCTCATGTCAAAAAACTCCCAAACACCAATTTTCATCCAAATATTGACATTACTTCAGAAATGATTTGAAAAAAATCGAAATAAAAATGAAACGTCTACACCCTGTATCTTCGAAACTAAACATTTTAGGACATACACTTATACGGACTTTTTTACGTATTTTTATCTGTAGAATATGCTGCCGAAGTTTACGGAATACAATTCGGACCGATGCGACGCTTGCGGGGCCTGAGGAAGAGAGAAACAACTGCTCGACGCGTACAATAGCCGCGCTAAATTCAAAATAAATTCCTTTTTGATAAATAGTAAATAAGTTGTAAATAGTTCTTTAAGTAGTTTTATCGTTATTGTTTTGTTACTTAGTGTAAAATAAATTGTGTTTAAATAAATTAGACTCTATCCACACAGAACCGACGAAAAACGTAACAATATGTAGGTATATGGGTTTAATGACGGACTATATTAGGAAAACTTTGCAAATAAATTTTAAGCTTCCACATAAAATATTATTCAACTAACTATATTATTTCGCAAACTATTAATTATATTTCGAGTAGGTATCCGGTTAATTCGTGGTCCTAAACCGCGAATGGCAATTTACCTGAAACGTTTACCGTAAAAGTGGGGAATCGAAGAACAATGGCTGACCGCCGACCTATAAAGTTGAAATAGGTATTTTATCGCTGTACTTACGACGTCGATAAGTTGCGACAGCTTGAGCTTGATTTTGACCGAAAGGGCGTCCGTAACGTTGACCACTGGTCGCACCAATTTATTATAGTTCGATAACAAATCATCGTAGAGGCGTTTGGCATCCGGGTTACAGTAACATCCTGGAACAATAGAAATTCGAAACGTTAGATATATAAAATGAATCGTGTTGCATTGCTAAAATTATTACATTAGTAAAATATTATCCAATCAAAAACATAGAATGTAACAAAAACAAGTCTTGCGACGCAATTCTTCCACTACAAAAAGTTGTGAGATTTCATGTAAAATCGTAAGATGGTAGCTCTTCTACAATTATAATTATGTATCGATTCCTAAAAAAAATGTGTGCACTATGTGGGCATATTTGAAGTGAAACTTCTTCTTACTTCCGTCTGTCTGTCCATTCGGGTACCTCTATCCACGTACCGAGTTTGGTTCCAATCGACTCATAATTAAGAAAAATCCTGATGACAGTAACTGATCCTAATTGCATGGATGATTTTTACCAACTTAATTGTGAGATATTTCTTATACTTTGACCACTAACTAACACGATTTCATTCGTCATTTTTATTTTTTAGTATAAACATTGCATGACATTAGCTATCAGTTGTAATGAAGTTCATAAAATTTCTAGGACACCCTGTATATTGTGTTAATATTATACTAGAATAATAGAGACTTCATTTTCTTTTAATAATGACAGTCAATGTATTTTATTGTTAACTCATTATTGTAATGAACTTCATTAGTGTTCCTATTGTTGAATTAAATAAGTTAAATATTTAATTGCCATTTTGTAAGAGAGTTTTGATCGGTTTTGGTCGCTATAGTTTAATGCGAAAAACCGAACCGTTTGCGCCGCTCGCCCTACTCTGCTAGTGCAGGCCGAGTGGAGGGGAGCGTCAGTCGAGTACCTTGGCTGCAGCAGCTCCAATTAGTTTGTGGTCGCACGCGAAACAGTGAGGTTCGAGTCCGGAGTGCCCTGCCAGGTGACCTGCTGCCAGCCGTCGATCGTCGCCGCACTGTACAGGGTAAGCACCCACCGCCAAAGTGATCGAGAGTAGGTCGTATTCTTTTTATTGTTAATGACGTTTACTTTACTGCCTTAACGCGTTACAGGGATAAGGGAGACAGAGATATTTATATTCGCTCAGGTAGGCCAAACGGTGCACCTCTACGGAGGCTGTGGGCTATTTGACCGAATCGCGCGAACGCAAAGACATAGCAAAACTTATATGCGATCAGGTAGATCAAACTGTGAACTCTACGGAGGCTGGGGGATATTTGATCGGATCACGTGGACGCGAGGAACGATTTCTTTTGTTAAAAGGGAGAGAGTGAGACAGCTAACGGTTAAGGTAATTCAGTAAACGCACGGGTCGCGAATATTCATGGAGCTAGAACAAGATCTCGCCCAAATCCCGAGGCTGGTTTTGTAGCTCCCGTATTTCTCTAGGTGTGTCGTCCGGACGGCACCCTGGATCAGTGACGCTGGACGGGATCTCGCCGAAATCCCGAGGTTGTCCTGACCGGGCGGTGTGTGTGCGGGCTGCGCTTATCCGAACGACGTACAACTCGCCGAGACGTCGCTAACGTCTACGTCACTCCGGGACTCGCGTTTGTGTATCCCACGGGACGCTGTTAACTTCGCGATCGATCCAGGGCTGGCGCTTATGTATCCCACAGGATGCTGTTAACTTCGCGATCGATCCAGGGCTCGCGTGTCTGTATCCCACGGGACGCTGTTAACTTCGCGATCGATCCAGGACTCGCGTTTGTGTATCCCACGGGACGCTGTTAATTTCGCGATCGATCCAGGACTGGCGTTTGTATATCCCACGGGACGTTGTTAACTTCGCGATCGATCCAGGACTCGCGTTTGTGTATTCCACGGGACGCTGTTAACTTCGCGATCGATCCAGGACTCACGGGACGCTTTTAACTCCGACGCCGATCCGGGGTCCGTATTTCGCTGTCAAAAAGGACACCGCTCCGATAAATATTTAGCTGTGACCATCGGGACGCCTGTAACGACGTCGCCGCCGTTTAGAGAGTCGCGTCGTGGTAGAGTGTGTTGCTCCGGTACCTACGTGTCTGTGTTCATTAGGACGCCGATCAGGAACTCGCGTTTAATAGAACGTCACTTCGGGAACGCGTTTTGAATTCGCGTTATAGAATCAGTCAGACAGTTACGTAGCGGGAATAATCGATCAGAACTCTAGAGGTACACGGTTGTTATTGGAAATTTTACTTTACGGGTTTCTAAATATACATTTTATGTCACTATTGTTACAATTCGAGAAAGTGAACTTTCCTTGATTACTTTTGTACATAATTAATTTGTTAAATAAAAACCTAGTGTTACGTTATAGTTAATTGTGTGTTTTATTTTCTTTTCATCTCATCACTCCCTGGTATCTCCACTGTATAAAAGCTACCCGTACTGGCACTAGTGGTCTCTCAAACACTTTAAACTTTGGGGGTGGCGCCCGAGGAACCGAACCAAGGCAACTCGGCGTCCGTGATCTTTCTCAAAAACGGGGTCCGTTTTCACACAGTTAAAAAATATACAAGGTTGTTCGCGCCATTCGACAAAGATTCGACACGGCGTATTGTAGCCAAATGATTAGATTTGTAGAAATTATGAGTGATAGGATTGGTGATGGACCACTAAAGCTACACTTTAAAATTACTTGCAAAAGGTGCAGAGTGTCCCAAATAAATAAAAAATATCAAAGTTGTATTTTTTTAAATGGTACGCCCTGTATATTATTACATTTTTAGTTTCTACGATTAAAATAAATGTAATTTAATTAAGATTTACCGCACATTAATCTTTTCGTTTTTGAAATATTTACGATTTTGTGAAAAAAACACTAAAAATTTTAATGCTTTATTTCTCTAAGCATATTTATGCTTTTAAAACCAAATATAGTACTGAAGTTTTTATATTTACTGGATTTTGTGGTTTGGTAATAAAATATTACTACTTCATACAGAGTGTCTATAAATTTATTTTAAATAATTATTAGCTTTAAAAGTTTTAATAACTTGTTTAATTTAAATTGATCTGTATATACTCTGTATATTTTACGTGAATCGGATGAAGATGAGGTACTATAATGCAAAATTTTAAGCTATATCCAATTATGTACAGATAAATTGGGGGTGTAATTAAAAAAAACTTAAACCTTTTATCATATTTTCCAAAGGGGCGCCTAGTGGCAGTAAGTAAATCTTTTTATATTTATTTTAACGAACCTTTAACCTCAATAACAGATATAAAAATAGTTTATGCATATTTAAGCATTTTTTTTAAACTCAAGATTATTTTTTTTTATTACCGACACTATATGTAAAATCCTTATTTTTGGGGCTTACTCAACCGGGTCTCACAATGCAAATTCACCTCAAATATCCATTTAGTTGGTCATTGGCAAGCACTCTCTCATTGTACATGAAAATAACAAAACAAACATTTACTGATCTGGATAAAATTGATAGTTAAATAGTAAGACTCACCCGGGGGTACTCCGCCCCTAGCCACTGACATCACTGACATTCATTCAATATATCCCATTCCATATCTTCCATCTAATTCAAATATTATTCGGATCTATTGGTTAATAATCTTCAACAACTAGCTAGTGTCACCTGAAATAGTATAGGGGCTTCCCCCGGACGCAAATCTGCCGCTAAACAGATTCGCATCCCAAACGATGAGGCTAATTGGGGTCCTCACACAACGCCCCAGCGGTGTCAATCGAAAAGCAAGAGAGACCTCAAACTCTCAAGACCATCCTCGAAGGAACGACGTCACAAGAGGTTTTCTACTTCCATAGTTAAAAGACTCGCTACTTCCAAATGTCAGCTCTGTGACAAAACACAACACTACACAGCCGGCCGGCCTATGAACAACTGACTGACCTCCGCCTGCCGAGCTAAACCTCCTCTTACATCACAATTTTACCTGATCACAAATATTTACATCGCTTGCCAATGAATCATACTGTTTTCTCTAATCGACTTTCAAATACAGTGTTTTAGCATTACCAATAAATAAATAGAGAGTTTCCGAAGGAATGCATATTGTTTATTAGAATAGTGAATAAATAAAAGCATTATTATGACGAACTTATTTTCCAAGTTTTACATTCGGCCAACCTGAACTTAGTTGCGCCCACGCAACTCTAATCTGACAGTGTCTCTAGCAACATCTGATATCTATCTCTAGCAACCCAAATCTTGTCGCTGACAACTCTAGTCCGTAAAATGAAATAAAACAAACAATTGACAACTACACAAACGTCACAAAATTAAACCCTCAAATAAAAGTGCCCTACACACTTGTTTTCTCACACACAAGTCCTAGAACAGATGTCATGCGAATGCATCCAAAGTTAGAAAACTAATTAAACATACACAAAATAAAGGACACAGCGTATAAAACAGTAGAGACAAAAAATTAGTAGTTGACTAAAAACTGCATACTAGAAAACAACGAACCGCCGACTAACACAAAAGTAAATCGGCTGCACACCATATTGTTCAAATAAACTGCGATACAGAAGAATCGCTGCAAAGCTTTACCTAGCAGTAAAAAATCACAATCTCTGATACATATTATGATATTAAAATGCTTTTGAGAAGAAAAAACCCTAAGAGTACGAAACAAGTTAATGCTCAATTGGAGTGCTCTAAACTACCTGTTGATTAGGGATCTGTTACCTTTGAGATGAAATCTAGAATCGACACTGTGCATTCAAGCCTTTCGATTGTCAGACAAAACTTAAAAGATTTTCACTTGAGTGCGACACTTTCTCCGTTTACTAGTATGTAAACGTATTATTTCTTTATATGGTGCAGATACAGCCATATAGCAAACAACTACCGTAGCTCCAGACAAATTTATTCAAACTGCAGCGGAGATTATTATATTATATAGGTTTGTACAGCCTAGACGAACATGTTCAAATTGTGAATATACAAAAGAGATGTTGAAGATTAGGGATATTGACATGAAACGTACGTATTGAAGAACTGTAAATATATAAAAGATGACAAACACAACAGGGAATTGAGTAGCAGTTTCTTTTTATATTACGAAGGGTTCATG